ACACACACACACACACACACACACACACACACACACACACGATAAATCTTAATAAAACACTATGAAAATCTTCTAGATGGTCTAAAACAGTAGTTTTCAACCTGTGGGTTGCAACCTCTTTGGGGTCTAGTGACCCTTTCATGGAGTCATCCAAGATCATCGGAAAACACAGATATTTACATTATAATTCATAACAGCAGCAAAATTACAGTTATGAAGTAGCAATGAAAATAATGTTATGGTTGGGGGCGGCCAGAGCATGAGGAGCTGTGTTAAAGGGTAGCAGCATTAGGAAGGTCGAGGACCACTGCTCTAAAAGGGTCACAACTGAAAAAGCCACTCTCTTCTTCCAGCCTCTTCGGCTGAACTATTTCAGTGAGGTGCTAACTTCTTCTGGACTACACAGTGCCTAGTACTCCAGTCATATCTTCATCAGGCCAAGGGCACGAGGAGGCCAGCACTGGGGTGTGGTTTTCGAGTCCTCTCCTTATGTGACCACACCTAATGCCCAGATAGGCTACCCAGGCACCTTAAACAGACTTCTCCACTAGCCATCCGGCCTCGTCCACTAAAATGCAAAAGTATACTAAGAAAGTAAGGAACTACTCTGTATTTTTAAAAATATCTTTTAACATTCATGAATTTACTGTGAGCACACCTACACACACTCAAGTGTGCACACACATGCACGCACGCACAAACTCACAAACACACACACGCACACACACCCCTGCAAGCAAAAGTCAGAGAACAACTTGTGAGATTCTGTTTTTTCCTTCCTCCCCGTAGGTCCTGGAGATCAAACCCAGGTCATCAGGGTTGGCGGCCGAAGAGCCAGCTACTCTTGGTAGAACTCACGGGTGCCGAACCCACGGATATATAGGGCCGGCTCCACTGGCTGGAGCTCAGTCCTGCAGACAATGCTGCATTATGTGAAGTCATGAATAAAGTGTAGTGAAAGGGGCCATTCACTACAGAGACTTCGACACCTCGAGGTCTCTGTCTCACCCAGTGGTTCAGAAGCCTGGCCACGAACTCTCTCCTGTGGCTCCATCATCTAACTCTCCCTCTGCCCAAATTCCCCAAACTAAGACAAAAATCTGAAAACCCCAAGTACTGATTCTTAAATTCACTGGAATGTACCTCATAATGTAACATTGTGGCCAGTCTTTTTAATTCAATTAAAATATGCTTTTATCTAGAAGGCTTTAAATTTGATTTGAATGAAAAAAACAGAGGTTGGGAGGAAGAAATGTCATTAGCACAAAGACTGCTTTGTTTTCAGAATGTGAAGTCTTTATGTGTCTTAGTCCTTAATTAAGGCAAAATTCCTGGCTAAAAAGCCTACAGCCTGCCACAGAAACCAGCCTCCACATTTATAAACCCGGTATGAGGAAACATGATCAGATTAACTCATAAGTCTGTGGCATTAAAAATAAAGACACCAGGGGCTGGAGAGATGGCTCATCAGTTAAGAGACCCGACTGCTCTTCCAGAAGACCCGGCTTCATGTCCCAGCAACCACATGGCAGCTCACAACTGCATCCCCAGTTGCAGGGGATCTGACACCCTCTTCTGGCTTCGGCAAGCACTGCATGCACACGGCGTACAGAATACCAGCAAATTAAACTCATAAGAAAAGTTTTAAAAAGAGACACTACTAGCATTTCAGTGTCTAAACTCAAAATACTATCACAGCTGCTACAGACCTATGATCCAAAAGCACCTGCAAATTTACACATAAATCAAGTTTGAGGAGCACACCATCCGGAATCCCTAAGAACAATTTTGAAGAAAACACACGCAGGCATCCACTCAGCTCTCTCACTTATTTGGTTCACTCGTTCATTAATTCACCAGTTAATGAAGCTGCTTAAAAAGAAGTAGTGCTGTGGGATGTCTTTCTGTATGCTGTGAATGTGTTGCTCTGATTGGTTAATAAATAAAATGCTGATTGGCCAGTAGCCAGGCACGAAGTATAGGCGGGATAAGCAGACAAGGAGAATTCTGGGGAGTGGAAGGCCGAGTCAGGAGACTCTGCTAGCCACTGCCACCATGAGGAGCAGGATGTGAAGTACTGGTAAGCCATGAACCACGTGGCAAGGTATAGATTGATAGAAATGGGATAATTTAAGATATAAGAACTAGATAGCAAGAAGCCTGAGCCATTAGGCCAAATAGTTTAAATAATATAAGTGTCAGTGTGTTTATTTGGGTCTGAGCGGCTGTGGGCCTGGATGGGACTGGAGATAACTCCAGCTACAAAGTAGCGCAGTGAACATTCTAGCATGGAGACAGGAGGAGCCCACAAGTCCCTACCCCTAGCTCAGCAGTTGCTGAGAGTCCACCTTCTGAGAGAGAGAGAGCGCCAGTTTTCTTTAAGGATGTGGTCCTTGGTAAGTCCGCCATGTCCCATCAGATGACCACACATAGGCAGCACAAATTACACTTGATGAGCACTGGGTTGGTTTTGTTTTTAAAGAGGGCAGGAAGTTGGAAAGGGATTTGTAGTGTGGGTAGATCTGGGAATAGTTGGGGGGGATGCAAATATAATCAAAACACATTGTACTAAGTTCTTAAAGACTTAATAAAAGGGCCCTAGGGAGATGGCTCAGCAGTTAAGAGCACTTACTGCTCTTGCAGAGGACCCAGCACCCATATGGTGGTTCAAAAATATCTGTAACTCGGGTTCTAGAACATCTAATGCCTTCTTCACGTCTCTAAAGGCACCACCAGGCACACGGATGGTGCACATACATCTATACATGCAAGTAATACGCTCATGCACATAAAATAAATCTTTATGAAAATTAGTGAATCTTCATATAGTTTTATTTTCTATCAATAAATGAAGCAATGGAGATGGAGGGAAGAGTTAGTTATGCATAGAAGATAAAAGCTGGGCGGGCAGACCCAGGATGAGTAAACAACTCACACACACACATAAGAAATGGGAACCCAGGGCCAGAGGGACGGCTCAGCAGGTGAGGGTGCCTGCTGCCAAGCCTGATGACTTCTGAGTCCCACGCTGTAGAGAAGACGAGAACCAGCTGCTGCAAGTTGTCCCCTTACCTCCCCAGAAGTGACACGGCACATACGTGCGTGCACATACAAACACACCCAACTCTTTAACGTAAGAACAGAAGTGGGAACCCGGCACACACTGGACTCACCTGCAGTGGGTAGAGCTCGGACTTGCAAAGCCTCAGTAGGGATCATGTGGCGAAACCGGAAAGGGTCCCACTCCTCGTAGATTGACAGCCTGTGAGAGCCAACCTGCGGGAGAGAAGCAGCAAGGTAATCTCCATGGACCAGCTCCCCACACTTCCACATCAGCAGCAGACTCAGGACCTCAGCACAAGCCAAAGAACCATCGCATCCCCCTCACGCACTCTGGGTTTCACTGGCAGATGGGAGAGGCTACATGAGAAATACGATGTTGTACCAATGGCTAATTAAAGGCAGAGGAGAGGGAGAGAGAGGGGAGAATCTCATTTAAAAAAAAAAAAAACTGAGGCCACTAGAGAAGGGCAGAAGTGGCGTTAGGAGGGCTCTGGCCATGGGAGGCTCCGCACGCATTCACGTGCATCTTCTACCCATGAGCCTGTCTGCTGGAAGGAAGCTAGTCAGGATCTCTTAGAAAGGAGAGAAGAGGCTTTTGGAGACACAACTAAGAAGCAGACACAGGCACTTGGAAACTACAGGATGAAGCAAGAGCACTTACAAGTTTCTTCTTCTGTTTGGAACCGTCTTTATACACAAGGACAACAGCAGTTTTGAAGACTGCAAGAGAAAGATCATAAAAGCAGTTACGGCAGGAAATGCTTGGCTTCCTCCCTTGACTATGCTGACTTCCAGCGGTACTGTATTGCTATAGTTAGGAGAGCATGGAGATGCCCGGTAGTGGACTGCTACCCACCTTGACCCTATTTACCACCTCTGAACGTCAAAGCCTGCTGTGAAAAAACGTTTCTACCTTTAATCTGAGTAGAGGAAGCCTAAATAAATGGAAATACCTTTTACTCCCCTCCACCAAAAAATGCATTTTAGCTTTGTTATTTTAAGGTTATAACTTAGCTGTGCTAACATTAGTAGTTGGAAGACAAGTACAAATGCCTCTAATAACTATTTAAGGTAATTTGCATTTATACAAATTCAGGCCCTCTCTATCTCTCCTCCTCACTCTATATCTAACACACACGTGGTATTTATAATTCAGGAAATAAATTTCATCTTTTTGACCTAACGAAATGAAAATGAGTTAATGAAATAGAACATAAGTCCAGTTCTTCCCAATAGAGTAAGCCCCTTTGGAGCAATGAACACAGAGAGCTCTTACACTTTTAAAAATGGGGTGGGATGGAAAAGACCATCCCTGGTCCTTTGTGTCAGTGTTGGCCATAGTTTAAATGTCTGTTTCCCCAAAAATCTGTATGTTGAAACTATTCCAAGATTGTAGTGGCTCAGATATTAAAACACTTAGTGCCCAGTGAGCTGTCCCATGTGGGCGGGTTATAACACCTTTAGGAGATGGAGCCTTGCTGGAGGAAGTACATCACTGGAGTCGACTTCCACCGCCACAGCCTTGGTCCACTTCCAGTCTGCTCTCCCTGCTTCCTGGATGTGGTTAAGATGTGACCTCTCAGCCCTGCTCTGGCTGCCTGCTGCCAGCCACGCTTTCTCTCCCACGACAGACTCCCCCTCTGGAACCACAGGCCAAAACAAACTGTCCCTTCTCTACGTTGCCTTGGTCATGGTGTTTGATCACAGATGTGACGGCTTCGGAAGTGGCTGGCACAGGGATCAGCCGCTGTGAGCAGTCAGTGACCGCATAAAAGAGGCTCAGGACATGTGGCTTCTCTGACGTGTGAACACAGCTAGAAGACATCTGAAAAGCGGGGGTCTGGCTCCCCAGACTCTGCTGCCCCAACATCCCAAAACACGTTCATTCTCTGAGCCTGAGGGAGTCCAGACAAGTAGCAGCTGGAGGAGCCACAGACTGGCGTGTCAGGCATGCATAACCGAGTTCTCAGGGATGGGGCACACTCAGGCTCCGACTCTGGAGACGACCACAAAGTACCTGGCTTGCTTTCCAACTTGCTTTGGGTAGGACGGGCTTCCTTCTGTCAGAGCAGGAGCACTTCCGCCTGCCTCCTGTCTACTGGATGACATCGCTCAAGCCCTTGAGCAAGCCCAAGATCCCTGGCATCCCCGGTCAGCTTCAAACACAACTATCTCTGTGTTTGTGTTTTGTAGTGGTGATCATTAACAGGCAGTACACGAGGCCCCTCTTGTGAGGCAGGGCGCTGGCGGCAGCAAGCCCACATCCACTTTGGAAGAATGCTACACTGTGTCCCAAGACTCAAAACAAAAGGACAGCCAGGCCGTCACCCAAAGCTGCCCGTTCAATAGTGTTTAACCTACTTCCCTCACGGCAACTCCTCCTTACTTCCGAAGGCATTTCTAGTTAGTTCTGCCTAGCTACTTGAAATCACAGAAGTGTCAGAGAGGTCCCCTTTAATGAACTTATCCAAACACTGCTCACCAACACAGGCAGACTTCTCCATAATCCTAATTTTATTTTTTTTTTTATTTTTTTTTTTTTTTTGGTTTTTTGAGACAGGGTTTCTCTGTGTAGCTTTGCGCCTTTCCTGGGACTCACTTGGTAGCCCAGGCTGGCCTCGAACTCACAGAGATCCGCCTGGCTCTGCCTCCCGAGTGCTGGGATTAAAGGCGTGCGCCACCACCGCCCGGCCATAATCCTAATTTTAATTCCTCCTTGTCCTCTCCTTTCTTTCTCTTTCTCTCTCTCTCTCTCTCTCTCTCTCTCTCTCTCTCTCTCTCTCTCTCTCTCTCTCCTCTGTTACTCTGGAAAAAATCCTGAGCAATGGCGAGTTTGCCTCTAATCACAGACAGAGCCTTTCAAAGGTTCTGTCCCACAAACCAAAGCCCCAACAAGACGCACTGAGCTGGAGAAAGCAGCAGCTGCTTACAGCTGGGGCAGATGTGCTGGGCTCGGCCTCTCCAATTCAGTTACCTGACGCTGTCCCCTGTGCACAGCCCAGGAGAGAAGGAGAAGGGAATCCAGAGTCCTCTCTGAGCCTCAGAGCGAGCGTCACGCATGTCCCACACCTTACACCCGACATCTTCTAGACTACCTTCCTGCCACCTCTGTGGGGGACGCTGTTGCCTCACCCATCTTCATCACCGATGGCTGCTCTTGGCTATTCCATCAAATAGTCCATGTTCTTCTTGGTCCAGAGGATGAATATTTCTAGAGGGCTTCCCACAGAAAAGTCTGCCAACCTCTTACTTCCTCCCACTCAAATTATTCTCAGTTTCTAAATCGACTTCTAACCATATAAAACCTGTAAAACTCAGGGGACAAGACATAAAATATCCTCATCTTGCACTCTGAGCTGCAAGCCTGAGGCGGATGGCTGATTCTCTTACTTCAGTGCTCCACGACCGGTAAGCAACAGTAAGGAGCATGAGAGAGGTGAGTCCCTCTCCAAGTCTCAGAAACACGGAGGTGGGTATCAAAAGGAAGTAAGTCCTACTGCCCCCCAAAACCACTATCAACACTCCCACCCCACCAAACACCTCAGTGCTTCCTGATGTATTCTGTCCTGTTTTCTCACCACATTTTTTTTTTTTTACTGTGGTTATATTGAATGCAATATCTTCAAGGGCTTCAGTGGCTCTTTAGAAATTTTAGAAACCTCACTAATTCCTTAATGAGAATGACGTGGCTCTAAGTGGGAGAGCCAGGAAATATTTGTATTTAACATTGATATCCCTGGGCAGTTCCATTTGGGAATTATACCACGGGAAGGAAGAACATTCGGTTACAGAAGCAGTAAGCAACCACTCTCTTCTCAAGCAAACATCAGGTGAGTGGATGCTCACAGCTAAATCCAACCTGAGCCTTGTAGGGATAAAATACACCATAAACAGAAGCAGGGGCTGCTAACCACTTCATGCTCAGGAACAACCCTGCAAGAGGACATATTCACGCCAACACTGCAAGCCACGAGCTGTACCTCCTAAACGATGCACATTTCCCCGTACATCAGATTAGGTTTCCTTCCCCAAAAGCACAAGGATAATACTTGTAAGTGACCTCCACCTGCACCCCTCTAAATAGCCTATCAAAATAAATAACAAATACGTCTACCTTTACTAGTATTAATAACATGATTGAGCTGTCCCTTACAGCCCATGGAGACCCCAGTCACAACAACAGTTCAGCTGAGAAATGGCCTCCTAAATCTTGGAGCTACATAAAACAGTGCAGAGCCAGGGAAGAAATGAAAGACCCAGGATCTGGGGTCTCAGAAACCATTGGCTCTTGGTTCTTCATTTGACTTTTCTTCATTAAAAGAAATGTCAATCCATTAAAGACACACGGACTAGCAGATAAAATTATATTTTAAATAAGATGTTAAAAAAAAAAAAATTCCTGCCTGCGCAATCTCCACAGCCACGCGCACCCTGCAGCTGAGTGGCCGCCACATTGAACCCATCCAGCGAGAAGGTCTAATTTATGTTCGTTTATATTTATTTGGAAGAATTAGTGGCTGGAGCAGTAAGCTGTAATTAGCTTCCTGGTCATAAACCATCTCTTGGAAAAGGAATACTCTTGTTTGGAAAATAAGTCAGCTGTTCCCCATCCTCGGCACCCTCCTCCGACACATACCGAAAGCTGCCAATTCTGGCTCCTTTTTCCACTTTCCCAGCGAGGCGGGTGGGTTCAGCCAGATGACAGTGGTGTGCAACAGCAGGTCACCCATGCTGAGATCTGCGACCTGAAATCCGGGACACGACAAGCTCAGGAGTGGTGCGAGCCACATGGAGGTTTGATTCAGTTTTAAAATAGGGTTGGCCGATGTCAACTACAGTTCGTGAAAACATTGTTCCTAAAGAACACTTGCTTAGTACGGACACTTAGGTATGGCTAGACAGCTTTATTTGGTCATTCCACAATGTGTATGAATCAAAATATCATACTGTGTGCTATAAATACAGACAGATGGCTTTGACTTACCACAGTTTCAACTTGTAGTGAGCTTATTGAGTAATTAAATATATTTTTTATTTAGACATTTCTAAGTGAACATAGCTTTAGGAGGATATAATCTCATTTTAAGTTTAGAAACATCCAATGCAACATTTATTTATTAATAGACATGAAGGATTTAAAAAGGAACATGGAAAGTGACACAGTGCATTTTAAAGGTCCTTTCTTAGTGTCAGTCAACACCATCGCCCACTTGAAGCTGTAGATGTCATAATACCTAGCAATGCCAAACAACGTCATTACCTTTGCCTTGTTTGACCTGGAAACAACACGATGACATTTTAATGAAACCAATCTGTTAATTCATATGGCAGGCATGTCCACACTGGAATAGGAATCTCTGAGATTACCAAAAGCCACATAGGGTGTGCAAAAAAAAAATGTTCTTTTTTCCTTTGTTTTATGTTTGTCTACCAAAATTTTAGGAATGAGATGACAAAAGGGTATAAGCCAGGGGTCACATACAGCAAATACATGAAATCCAGTCTATAAAATTAAAGCTCTTCTACCCAATGAAGACAACTTCTCCAGGAGAACTAACGGCATTGGTGGCCAGTGACAAATACCCCCCAGAAAACCCGGGGAGTGACACCACTGAGTGTAGTCTTCAGGAATTGCGGGATCAAATCAGTTTCCCTTTTCCCAGTTCAGTAAAGAAAACCTTACTTCACTTTAGAAGGGGAAAGCCAAAGCAGAAGTCTGAAGATTTCCTGCTAGACATGTGTGGAATGGACAATGAACTCCTCAGAGACCGTGTGGTCGGTCACATGCTAATCCTGCTCTCTTCACGGTCAAGTACTAACACTCAGCCAAGGGGTTTATTTAGACCCCAACCAGACATGATGACCCAAAGAAGCCAATGGTAGCTTTGTGTTCACACCTGACAGCACCATGGAGGTCATGGTAGCCTTGTGTTCACACCTTACAGCACCATGGAGGCCATTGGTAACCTTGTGTTCACACCTGACAGCACCATGGAGGCCAATGGTAGCCTTGTGTTCACACCTGACAGCACCATGGAGGCCAATGGTAGCCTTGTGTTCACACCTGACAGCATCATGGAGGCCATGGTAGCCTTGTGTTCACACCTGACAGCACCATGGAGGCCATGGTAGCCTTGTGTTCATACCTGACAGCACCGTGGTTCTTCCGGTTGCCTGTCAAGGAGGATCTGAAAACATTCAATGAAAAATCCCACGAAGAGACATCCCTGCACTTTAAATTGACAACATCCCAGACAATGTGATGAGACCTCCCACCACCCCTCTTCGTTCTTCCTGAGACTGGAACTATCCAGAGTACCCACACCAGATGTGCCACTTGCCCAGCTATCACTTAGTAGCCATCTGAAATATCAAGTCACCTGTTATGATATCACGATATTTGGTTTCATAAATGGCTCCAAAGCCTAAGAGTAATGATGCTATCAATTTTGATATAAAAAGCCAAGGTGCTTCTTTCTTATTCAGAAGACAAAAAGATTTCAACTTAACTAAGGGGGAGAAACATCACAGCTCAACAATCCATGAAATTGTGAGCCAACCAAGCTTTATTCTAGTTTTGCTGTCCTGTCAAACTGCAAAGGCATGGCCACGTGGCCGCCAGGTGTGGGAAGCGCATCATTAAGGTAGAAATGGTGTCTAACTAGTGTGTATGTAGAGGAAAGGTATGTGGGATACCTAGGGATTTAGGACTACCACAGATTCAGGTGCTCCCTGGAGGTCTTAGAGCATAAGTCATGTATAAAGTTCTCTTGGAATCATCTACCCACTTCCCAAAATGGCAAAAATCAATTACAACCTCCCCTCCCCCATCCGCGTTAGGGTTTCCAAGGTGATAAACAAACACCATGATCAAAAGCGGCTTGGGGTTGCAGTCCATCATGGAGGGCGGTTATGCCAGGAAAGAACACACGGCAGGGACCTGGAGGCTGGAACTGGAGCAGAAGCCATGGAGGAGTGCAGCTTACCGGCTTGCCCAGCCTGATTTATCAAATAACTCAGGACCTCCTGTCCAGGGATGGCACTGCTCTGCTGTGGACTGGACCCTCTCACACCAATTATGAATCAAGGATGTGCCCTACAAACTTGCCTATAGGCAATCTGTCGGGGCATTTTCTCAATTAAAATTCCTCTTCCCAAGTAATTCGACTTCTAATTGACAAAAAAAAAAAAAAATTAGCACTCCCTTTTCCCACTGAGAAATGCTTTCTTCAGTGTAATTACAGGTGAGAGGATCATCTGGGATCTATGTAAGCATGTCCCAGGACAAGAGTCTACAACTATCACAGTCCATGATCTCACCTATGTGGAGACCATGTAAACCACTAGAAACCACTGGAAGTTCTTCAAATATGCCTCTTCAGGCACTGACCTGCTGACCACTCACTACAGTTCTTGGGGTCTGCAAAAATTAAGCCCAATTCTCTCTTCATTAAGTCAATATTTCAAACATTGGAAAGCTTGATACTTCATTTCCAGAGAACAAACAGCTCCCGCTGACATTGTGGCATACGACCTCAAGGTGTTCCTACGATGTTTATGCATATCAACAACCTGGCAGCCCGTCAACACAATGCAGCCTTCTCTGGCCACCAAAGCCAGGCTGCAATGCTGGAGAATAGCTCTGTCGGGAATGAATGGAGGTACCACTTCCCTTGATGGGGGTTATAATAATTATTGTAGTTATTGCTGGGGCATATCATTATCAAGGGCAAAATATTAAGAGATCGTATTAATATGCTTATAGATATTAAGTAACACACATCAACCAAGCCCACAGGACATCTACAGTCTTAGGTAGTTTGTCTTTAACAAGTCTTTGTAATTGTTGTTTAAACTATTTCCTCCAGGAAACAAAATTGTGTGTGTGTGTGTGTGTGTGTGTGTGTGTGTGTGTGTGTGTGACATGCACCTTCTGTCATGTGATGTTCTAGTCTCTCCTTCCAGACTACATAGAATTTACATCCCCGCCCTTGTGATCTGGGGCATGGCCATGATTGGGTAGGGAACTTGGTGTTACACATCTCTATCCACCCTCGGGAGCTTCTACAGTCCTGCCATGGACACAACACAGCAATTGGGATCCTCACACCTCAAATGGTTCCTAGAAGGAAGTCTTAATGGGCATGGGTAAAAATGGACAGCTGTAACCCCTGAGATGTCCCGACGGTTTCCACTTGGCGAAGGTAACAAGAAGCCCAGGGCTGCCACACTGCCCAGTCAGCCTGCTTGGGTCTCCAACGGCCCTTTTGAGTCCTCCTTTGAAGTGTCCAGAGTGAATTCTGCTAAGAGGGCTGCATTAATGGACTAGAGTGCCTTATTGAATCCGGCTATTGGAGGCACTCCTCTAAGGGAGAATATCCCCCTGGATACTTCTAATTGGCTGAGCAAAAGTAATGTTCTACAGGGCCCAGCTAAACTCCCCAAAGTAAACTCCCCAAATGTGGGAATTTAGGAATACTGAAGGTCCAGGTTCATCCTGAAATATTTACCTGCCATCTTTGTCTCTGCGAACATATCTATCTTCAGTGACACCCCAAGAAAAGCTGGTGATAAAAGAGGACTCGGGTGCCCTATGTCCCTAAGATGCGGCCATTTCAGCAAGACTCTGCAGATCCTGACCAATATTCCTAACTGCTTACAAACTGCTCATAATTCGGTCTAGGTTCTCACTGGACGCTGCCAATGAAGGGGAACTTCCGGGATGAGGAATCAACCCTGTGTCCCGCCCCCACAGTCACCTGCACAGCTGTACTATGACACACACTGCTGCAGCGGTGTGTGACGGTGTGTGACGGTGTGTGACGGTGTGTGACACTGGCCGATAATCCTGGCATGGGCCCCAAGGCCCGCTCTCCCCAGGGTTTTATTCTTGTGGAACCACAGACACTGGGAGCCTCCTGCTCCTGACTGATGCTTCTGTGTCAGCCTCCTGCGGGCAGCCGTGTGGCACTGGGCTTGCTAACCATGCCAGGCTGTGTTTTGAAACTATAGGGTTCTCTTCTTACCTTTTTTTTTTTTTTTTAACTTAGGGAGATTTTAAAACTATTTAAGGCCGGGCGATGGTGGCGCACGCCTTTAATCCCAGCACTCGGTAGGCAGAGCCAGGCGGATCTCTGTGAGTTCGAGGCCAGCCTGGTCTACAAAGTGAGTTCCAGGAAAGGCGCAAAGCTACACAGAAACCCTGTCTCGAAAAACAAAAAACAAAACAAAACAAAAAAACAAAAACTATTTGAGAAGAATGACCAGATATTTCAAAACAGCAGCATTTGTGTTTTCTAAACCCAGATAGATAAAACCATTGCCCCTAAGCGGGGCACGCTCTTGTGTTCTATTGTTCTATCGCACAGGGGCAAAGGCCTGCATTTCAGTTGGAAAGGCCACATCCTCTACAGGACGCCTCCCCAGGCTCTCAGGTCCTGGTGCTGCACAGTGCACTGAAGCCATACCAACTCTGTGGGGGGGGGGGTGTGTGGGGGGAGGGCAGATATGCAATCATGCCCAGGCTGGAAGTGGCCTTCACTGACTTCCTTCAGCTGCAGAAACCCCTGTTTGCCCCCATCTACAACTCACCTCAAAAGCTCTTTACTGTGTGCACACCAACCCAAGCGCTTGGGCTTTCTCGTGCATCCTCACACGCTCATTTTCACATCTCCATCCCATTTTCGCCTCACTGCCTTCCAAATGTTATCTTTTTGACAGTCTGAAAACCTGTGCTGTTTCATTGAGGGCATGTAAATGAGCCTGGAGCTGGCAAGATGGCGCTCAGGGGGTAAAGGCACTAGCTGGTGGACGGGAGAAGTGATTCTGACAAGCTGTTCTCAGACCTCCAAACACTGTGACATCCACACCCACACCCCACAAATGCGTGTAATTTAAAAAAAACCAAACAGCTGGATAACGGCCCTTTGTATTTGTGAGGGAGGCGTCTTCTGCAGAGTAGGCGAGCAAGCTCCGCCAGCTCAGCCCCCACCCCACTAATCACTGCAGAAGTATGGCTCTCTCTCCCCGTCCATTAGGCAGAAGCATAATGCAGAATAGAAAAAACTCTCCAGTTGAATCTAGACATATCGCAACATTGATGACTGCTATTATAGTCATATCTTTACAATTCACCTCAGTATTGCCAACATTTTTTTTCATGGAAGCTCATGTAACACTGGAACAATTTTTGATTCACTCTAAGCCTTTCTTAGGTGTGTGTGGCCATGTGGTTGCTTCTTTGCAGCAGCGTTTCGGGTATGGGGAAAAGAATTATTGTCACTGGAACTGGCATTCACCTAACGATCACTTATCAAGAACCAACTATGTGGCTGGGACTAGATATATGGCAGATAGTCTAATCTGGGGACTCACAGTCACCCTTCGATGGCATTCACAGAAACAGCCCAGCCTGGGTAATGACACTCACTTCTACATGCAGTACGGATTAAAATCGGAGACCCCAAAGGCTAAGAGCAGAGCATCAGAAACATGTTTACCAAGAAAAAGCTCTGGTGAAAATAAAAATTCATGGGTGGCCTTGAGCATAACTGTCAATCCGATGCCTAGGAGGCAGACCACGGGGTACACCTGTGAAGGGCTGTCTAGGTGAAGGCTGGCCTTAATTGCCTTGGGAAGGTTCATCTTAATCATGGGCAGGGATCCTGGACTGTGTGAAATAAAGGCAAGCTGGCCGTCAGCATGTACCCACTGCTCTCTCTAACCGACAACACAATGCGACCGACTTCTTCACACTTCTGCGGCCGTGACTACCCACTCAGCCATGGTGGACTTTACCCTGAGCGGTGAGCCAACTTAAGGCCCCTTTTTAAGTGTGGTGGCCTGAGTATTTTACCAAAGCAACAGGAAAAAAAAAAAAGCTAAGGCTTCAAAGACAAGAGTCCTACTGTTGTGTAGCAGTTTCCTGAAGACTGAAACATTCCATCTCCCAGGAAGCTCCTCAGAAGGTAAATAATTCAAAACTGCTTCAGGAAGTCCCTGAAACTGACCAGATTTGCTAGGCCCCTCCCTCCCAGAGTAAGCAATAAAGACAGCCAAGAGTCACTCTCAGACCAGCCAAGATGCAAAGATTCTCAGACCAGACCTGGTACCTGGAAGAAGGAGAAACCAGCCAAGCTGCCTGGAAGAGGTTTAGACCAACCGAGTCACTTGGAAAGGACACTCTCCAACCTGCTGAGCTGCCTGCAGGCTGTGCAGTGTGCTCCAGGTTCCCAGCTTTGTGAGCTGTCACCCATGCTGGGGTGGACTTTGTTGATGCAGCTGTCTTTGAGTCATTTCTGCTCCTGTAAGTGACCCCTCACCCATACTCCTGCAAGTAACCCCAATAAAACTCATTGGTTCACCATGTAGGATTTGGGAGGTATTCATACTTTGGTCTATCATGGGATCCTTGTCTGGAGTGAGTAGACATGTGTGTGTTGCATCCACCCAAGGAAAAGTCTTGTACAACACCTTCCAGAGAAAACAATCACACCTCAAAAAAAGAGAGCATCAAAGCTGGGGGGGAAGGGGGCGCCTCACCTCCTTCTTCTCTCCTGTCTGCTCAGCAATCAGCTGGTCAAACACAGCCCCAAACTCTTCATGGATCTTCTGCATCTCGTTGATGTGACTGGCAACCTTGTTCATGGTCTTGATGGCCACTAGAAGAACACAGGCATTGGAAGGGGGCTGTGCAGAGGCCTGGCTGGGACAGGGGTCACAGGGGTGTGGAGAGGCTGGGGGAAGAAAGGGAAGGTGCTCACCATCCAGGTGGTAATGTTCCTCACTCTCCGCATCCGTCAGTGCAAACAGCTCCCTGAGCAGAAGCGGGTACTTGAGGACCCTCTGGATGGGCTTGATGAGGTAAGACTCCAGGGTGGCCGAGTGCTGCTGCCTCGGGTTCTGGGCGTCCAGGAACGCCTTGAAGGCTGTGTCCGTCTTGGCTGGAAGGGACAGAACACAGACTCTCAGGGTGGCCGGCCCCAGAGGTTCCCTTCGCACTTCGTCTCACACTCACTCTAATCCCAAGGCATCTTTTTATAGGACTGGGCCCAGCAGGCTCCGGGGAGAGGGAGGAGGTCTCCGCCAAGGCACACACCGGATACGCCTGTCAGTCATGGGTGCGTTTGGTGGGGATGCAGACTAGTTAAAGGATCACCTTGTTCACCCTCCTCATATTGAGCATGTCTTTCTGTTCTGACATTTTGACTCCTACTGTCCTTGGGGAGACTGCTCTTCCCAGGCCTAGCCAACTCCTAAAGATAGCAGATGAACTGCCTGCAAGAAATCAATTCAGAGCGTACCTCTCCCACACCTGTCAGTTGGAGGAGGCCCTGACACTCTGGGTCCTCACTGGCTGCCTTTGCTCATCGCCTCAGGGCCAAATGTCACACTGCTCAGCGTCAGCCACACCCCAGAGCCCACTGAAGTTATTCATGGTGGCATGCTATTCCTCTGTCTCCTAAACAATCCCAGTGCTTCCCCAAGGGGCCATGCTGCATGGCTGCCCCCTCCTCCTGGGACCCATGAATGGCAAAGACAGCTACAATCTGATCTGCCAGCCCCGCCACACCACAGTAATAACCTTAGCGCCTCCAGCTGAAATCTCCGCCTGGTTCCCAAGCTTCCAAGCACTTCATTGCTGGGAAGACCTCTTTAAAGCAGGCAGAAAAAGCCAGAAACAGAAACAGCATCCGGCAGCCTTGTTAAGTGGAGTGAGGCCAGAAACCTCAGAACAATCTGCTCCATGTCAGCTTGGTGCTACCAGCTGTTAGCATCTGGATGGCAGGGAGCTGACCCACTGGCAAGCACCTTCTTCCCAGCCTCACTTTCATCCTCATCCGTGTTCCAGCTGGGATGGCAAGTGGCCCCTGGGGGGAGGGGGAGCAGCGGGAAGGGGTCCGCACTAGGATGACTGGGAAAATGGCTAATGCCTTCCAGGTGCCGAGTACTGGTGGAGCGAGGCAAAAACACATGAGAAGGGAGGGATGGGATGCTCAAGTCAATTCACAGTGGACACCTGCAATGCTTGGGCTGGTGGGGACATAGGACAGTGGTGGCGGGGTGGCTGCCCCAATGCAGGCTGCAAGAGGAAGAGCGAGGCCCTCCCTCCATACCCCGCCCCGCATGTTTCTTCTGTTCGTCTATTTTGGAGTTGCAGTCTTTAGAACAAATCGGTACACAAGCATCATCACTGCTGGAACAAACTCATTCTTCACACTCAGAACCTACATGTCATCAGGATTACGTTTGTCCATCAGAAATTAGACACAGCCCTCCATGGACTTAGATTCTTCCCAACAGCACCCAGTCTGTCAGGGGAACCTGACAGTTTCTGAATAAATGAGTAGTTTCCTAGAACTTAGTGGTTATTAAATTTTGAAAAACAGATCTCCACCCTAAGTGGTTAGTAGTGATACGTAATACAGGACATACAAGGGCATCATGAAGTGGTGAGTCCTCCTGCCTTGAAACAGCAAGACCAGCAGGAACCCCAGGAGATGAGCTCACACAGCCACAGCTTTTTGAGCCCCTTAAAATCCTATTAGGAAGAACCAAGCTGGGCCCTGCACCCTATGCCTCTAATCCCAGCACTCAGGAGGCAGAGGCAGGTGAGTCTCTGTGACTTCAAGGTCAGACTGGTCTATGTGGCATGTTCCAGGTTAGACAGGGTGACAGAGTGAGACCGTGTCTCAGAAGTGGAGGAGGAAGGGGAAGGTGGGGAGGAGAGGGGGAGAAAGGGAGGAGGAGGAGGAGAGGTGAAGAAGGGAGGGAAGGAAGGGGGAGGAAAGAGGGAGGAGAGGGGGAGGAGGAGAGGTTGAGGAGGAGGAGGAGGAGACGTGGAGGAGGGGAAGGAGAGGGAGAGGAGGAGGGGGGTCAGATTTCACAGGTTCAGCTCATGATTCTCCTTTCAAAAAGGACATGGGGACAGTAACCTAGACATGCTATAGAAGCTGGGCTAGCTCTAGAGCTGACACATGGAGAAACCTGATTTCTAATATCCAGATTCTTATGTGCAAAATACAGCTGTTGGTCACTGTGGTGGTTTAAAAGAAAATGGCTCCCATAGTTAGTGGCACTATTAGAAGGTGTGACTTTGTTGGAGTAGGCGTGGCCTTGTTAGAGGAAGGTATCACTGTGAGGGCGGGCTTTGAGGTCTCATATATGCCCAAGCCATGCCCAGTGTCTCAGTCCACTTCCTGTTGCCTTCTGATCAAGATGTAGCCAGCATCATGTCTGCCTGCACGCCGCCATGTCCCACCATGATGATAATGGACTAAATGTACTAAACCTTTGAAACTGTAAGACACCCCATTGAAATGTTTCCCTTTATAAGAGTTGCTGTGGTCATGGTCTCTTCACAGCACTAGAAACGCTGACTAAGACAGTCACTAAGTCATGAAGCACATTTCCTGGGGGGGGAGCAGGCTCTCAGAGCACCCTGCAGTCCTCCCAACCAGCCTACCTAGTCTAAGATGGCAGACACAAATTCTCCAAAAACCTCCAGCTCACTTGACAATTAAAAAATGTAGGCCATACCTACTGTTTTATGGACAATTTGGAGTGATGGTATAATATTTTTCAGATGGAAAAATTAATGTTATTGAATTAAGAAAAAAATCCACAGAGGCAAATTTAATCTAATGGAGTGATTTTAAAAAGTACTAATTACTTAGAAGAATATAATGCATATATAACTTCGCTACAGAGCAAATAACTCTATAATGTTTATTTTGGTTGTCTGATAATGATTAGCAATCAATAAAAGTTTTAAAAGACACACACACACACACACACACACACACACACACACACACACAGCCAATACACATGTGTGAAAACATAGGTTGACATCAGACAGCATGGCAGGGAAATTCTCAGAATGCTTTTGCACAGACTAGCACTCCCAGCATGCCTCACATTATCTGGGGCAGAGTCCTTGTTATCCAAAGACCTGCATTATTCTAGCATTTCCTAACATTGGTTTTACATTAAGCCAAGCTAGTTCTCTTGGGTAGCAAACATCAACACAACACATGGAAATTATTCAGCCGGGGACTTGATGAGAAACGTTTTCTTGGCAGCCACCTAGCAATGCTGAGGAAAAGCACATTCATTTCCAGAGGCCATTTGAAGCCAAACTGTGTCCTGATTCTGTCTTCCAAAGAAGCACTTCTTTAATACCCTTGGGAGGGACTCTGTCTACAGCAATGGCTAATACATATATAGTATGTGTGATACCTCAGTAAAACCCCCCACTCTATCGCCTACAGACAAAGAGAAGCTTAAACCAGGATTCCTAAGTGTAGATAAGAACTTAGACCCCTTTTCCCCAGGTGGCTGTATCTGCTACAGGGACTTTGGAAAACACAGTCAGGATATTCAACCAAAAGACTAAAAAGGGGAGGCGGGTTAAAATAAAGTATATGGTCTGTGCCTTTAAGAACTAGCCTCACAAAGAAAGGGGAGTGCTCCTTCCAACCTCCCTGCTGTGAGTGAGAGATTTGGAAGAGCCTCCCTAGAGGCTTGTAAACTTAGAATACACCTTACTTTTGCATTCTGTACCTAAAGTCTCCAGTGGCGGCTTTGGGGACACGGATCTAGGCACAAGACCCTCACTCTACTGTCTCAAAAAGGGGGCCTTAGACAAAGATATCTCAACATAGATAGACCCAGGCCAGTTTCAAGCCCCCAGAAATGATGGTGCCAGCCCCAGGAACAAAAGAACAGAGTCAGGATGTCTGATGGTAACCTATTAACCACAAGATGCCCCTCTCCAGAGATAACATGACCAGACCCCTGAGATGAGTTGTAAAACTCCTGACAGGGCAAACAGATAAGCTAGAATAAGATAAAGTCCAGGCCCAGGAAAAACTGGACCAATCAAGGATGGACCCATACTCACCCCCTCCCCTCTAAGAAATTTTATGGGTTTTACCTATAAAAACTAACTTCCCCAAGAAAGAGTAACTCTTCCCTGCCTCACTTGAGATGGCTTGAGATGAGTTCCCTGTCATGACTTGTAACAGATAAACCTTGCTTTTGCATTCTGGTATGCTAGTCCTTGGTGGTCTCTCTGGGGGTTACGATCTGGGCAAAACAGTATGTATTACACTGACCTGTAAAAATCTTTTGATTAAATTGAACTGTTTTTTTTTTTGGGGGGGGGGGTTGTTGTTTTTGTTTTTTTTAAGACAAGATCTAGCCAGATGGTCCAGGTTGGTCTTGAACTCAAAATCCTACCTCGTCTCAGTTTGCCGAGTGCTGGAATTACAGATGTGTGCTGCCACAATGGACCAGATGTAGCTTTTTTTTTTTTTTTTGGATATGTAGTAATTATACATATTCATGGGGTAGGATGTGATAATTTAATACATGTGTACATGACGATCAGCGAGAACACTCAGAATATCTCTCAAAACCTTTCCATCGCTTTGTGTTAACAATATTCAGCTTCTTCTAATTACTGCTAACCACCGTCACTCCGCCATGCTTTTGATGTTCTCCTGGAGGCACTGGGGCTTGACCTTAAGGCCTTCTGCATGCAAGGTGACCTCTACCACAGTGCTATACCCTCTGCTGTGCACACAGAACTGAGCTATTCTCTTTAGTGCATTATCTACCTGCTAACCACGCTCTTCCTATTAACCCCATGCCTCATCCCAGCCTCTGCCAACTACCATTCCTCTCTTAGTTCTGGGAGATCAACGTTTTACATATTGCAGACCACCATACAGTGACCCATGGAGGCTGCAGAGAGGTTCTGGAGATGTGCACAATGTTCATTTTCTCAAAACCCCCAAGGGAAGCATCTGGGCTGGGGGGTGCAACTCAAGGGCAGGGTTTGTCTTGCACACGTAAGGCCCTCGGCTAGATTCTTGAAGAAGGGGGAGGGAAGTATGGGAGGGGGAAAGAGGAGGAGGATGGGGAAGTGGGGTAGGAAGTGGGGAGAATGAAATGGAAAGGAGAGAAGGGGAGGAAGGGGAGAAAGGGGAAGGGGCGGTAAGAAAAGAGAACAAGAGAACGTTCCCAACATAAAAACTATACTTTGGTCTGTGCAAACCTAACTGCAGTAACTTCAGTAGTAACACTGACAGCTCCTACCACACACCTGTGAATAAAAACAAGTGCAGGAAAGATGACCTTCTGAAACGAAGGGCATGTGAAGCATGGTGAATTATAACAGAGATTAATGAACAGGAGAAATCGGGCAGGGCTGGCACACGCCTTCAAGCCCAGCACTCGGGAGACAGAGGCAGGTAGATCTCTGTGAGTTCGAGGCCAGCCTGGTCTACAGAGCGAATTCCAGAACAGCCAGGGCTACACACAGAAACCATGTCTTGGGGTGGGGGGTGGGGGGAGTGGATTTTACATTATTGCAAGAAGACGCCCACACAAATGTGAACTGGCAGCCAGCACACCGGTCTAAGCCACCCAGCCCTGTCTTACCTTTCACCAGGACCTTGGGGACTTTCGTGTGGCTGGCACAGAAGGCACTGTAGAGCTTGAAGCGGTCCGCATAGTACAGGAAGGATCCCCCCAGGGAGAACAGCACTTTCTAGATTAAAGAGAAAATGGGCAATGGGTTCAGTCCCCTCCTCACGTAGACCCAGCGCTGCGGCCTGGCACAGCGGCAGGCGCGAGCAGGAAAACACACTGGTCTCACTCTGCACCGGCCAGTCTCCAGACCTGCCAAAGCCTTTCTTTGTTCATCAATGTCCTAAAACTGATCATGGAAACTTATTTTGGTTTGCAATGAATTCTATAGATGTTGTATGTTTTGTCTTCTCAGTATTTACAGTGGGAGTGTTCAATGTACCTATCTGAGATGTTTGAATGCCGATGAGAAAATAATAGATTTTTGGGAAGGCAGAAATAGCTTGAGTTCTCTCATGAGTTCCTTATTGGGAGAGAGAAGAGACAAACTAGACAAATGTAGGAAAGGCTTACACCTCCAAAGTGGAGAAGACATGCCCCTGGTTACCGCCTCCACCTTCTCCAAAGCCCCTCTGTCGGGAGTAGATAAGAGCGTAAGCAATACCAATGCAAGAGCCACGTTCAGGTGTGGACTGCAGCCCCAAGAGGATCACATCAGGACACAACTTCCTTGTTAGGACAGATACACCTTGTGGGATGCTTTTGATCCCACCCATTTTATGCAAGTGAACAAAAGAGCAGGCCTCAGAAAAACATCTTCCAGAAAGTTCACATGGACCTAGTCTTGCTCAGAGACAGGCTTAGAATTACAACGCGGGATGATGAGATGATGAGCAGTTAAAGGAAGGTACCTGCCTTGAAAACTTGGGAGCCCAAGTTCTGTCCCTGGGACCCATGTAAGGTGGAAGGCCCTCTGGCCTCCAAATGTGTGCACACACAATAATAATAATGATGATGATGATGATGATAACAATAATATTTTTTACAAAGTAATTAAAGGCTCCAAGCAAGGGCTGTAAATGATAACCTGATTTCCCAAATATGCCATTTATCTGATACACACAATTCAGAGGAAGTTCAGATAGTCTACTGATGGAGAAAATGTCTGCCTTAGGCCATACTTAATTGGCATCCACAGTAAACAGAGACCTCAAATCTCTCCTCATGTCCAACTCTCCCTACACTTCTCAAGTGCCCTGGCTGCAGGACTATGTAAAGATGTGTCTACCAGAGTCATGATCACAAACTAAACAGGAAAAACTGGGAAGGACCACAAAAATCCACTCCTTTGCTTCCAGTAACAGTTACTAAGTGTTTACTATACAGTAGCCAGATAAAGCAGTATCTCCAGTGCCTGCTGCACAGAATGGGAGGGATTCCTACACTCTGACCACAGCTGCCCAATGCTGCTCACCTACAGAACTTCCGAAGGCCCCACAGGCTAGTGCACACGCAGATCCCTAAGAGAAAGTTCCATCAGCCTGATGAACACACCTACACCATCAGGATGCAGAGCATGCTGCCAGTGGATGGGAGGTACTGAGAGGCAGGAGCAGGAAATCACCAGTGGTAGGAACTGGCTTTCAGAGATGATTATGTCATTGTCCTGTCTGTAGTGATGGTTTCACAGGTTTTGTGTGTGTGTGTGTGTGTGTGTGTGTGTGTGTGTGTGTGTGTGTACTCATACATGCATACTTTATCAGAGCCTATATATTAAATATGCACAGTGCTTTGCCAATTATACCATAGCTGACCTTGTTTTTAAAAGCACAGGGCGGGTGCATGTAAGCCAACACACACCTCAATGAGTTTTGTTGACCTGGAATTTGGACTGAGAAATTCCTTCCAGGGAATACCAGCCAGGGGAGAGGAAATGAGCTGAGGGTGAGTAACCCTTACTCAGGCACAAGTCACACCTGCTCACTAGGGCCATAAGGACGCTGTCCGTCTGGACAAGGATCAGCAAAGTTCCCCAGAACGGGATAAACTGATTTTACTGAAAGACCAGAGGACTAATTTAATTTATTACTAGCTAATGTATTTAACTTGCTACTAGCTAATGTAACCTTAAGGATGGTGCAGCTTCCAAAGGAGACATCAGCAGATAAATATGTTAAATTGAGTCAGCAGCATCAGATAAGAAAGATAATAAAGGGGTCTCTCCCCACCCCAACTCCCTTGGGGATGGTCCCCCCACTGGGAAGTCCTGGGAAGCCCTCAGTACTATGAGCTCCGCAGACTCCCAAAGAACAAAAGACCACCTGCAACATGGCATGGGGGTTCATCCTAACCCACAAGATAACCCCAGCAGCGACCGAAACAGGCAGCTTTCAGAGGCTTGGAGGTGAGGCCTACCTTGAATTGGTCAACTTTTTCAAGCTTTTCCAAATCAGGGACCAGTCTTACTCCATCTTCCAGAGTTTTAAGGAATTCGACTTGGAACTCTACCATTTCCGTTAAATTTCCAAAGAGTACATCAAGCTGAAAAATGAAAAAGAATTTAATCTACCCCATATTACATGGAGGTTCAGAAACTATGATGTCTGAGTACTACCAAGTCTACTCTTACAGAATGGGGCAGTCCCTCACGCTCCAAGTCCACATCAAAACTTCACAGGCTGTATCTGACCTGCTCTAACTAAACGGATTCCAGAGGTACCCCCATCATTGCTCCATTTTTTTTTACCAGCAAGTCAACAGCAGTGTGGCCCCCCCCCCCCCCCCCCCAACATCAAGACAGCCTGCCATACCTCATCCTGGGTGAGGAAGGTCTCCTTCTGAAGGGGCTTCAGGTATCTCTCCATGAGGCAGTTTAAGTCCTATGAGCCAGAAGGACACTTCATTAGCATACCTAAAAGGCTACAAGGATCTACGGGCTGGAGAGACAAACTGTGTTGTGAATGCCAAGCAGCCAGTGATGGAAATCCATTAAGACAAGAAGGAGCAGGCTTCATCTACAAGTACTGCAGACGCTGCAGGCCCTTGAGCACAGCTGAAATGGATTCTTTAACTCACAGTGTACTCTGAGAGCCCACTAAGGAGCTCCATACAGGAAGGGACATGATTGTGTCCCAATAAAACTTTATTTTCAAAACAGGCAACAGGCTAGATATGGCCTGTGGGTCACAATATGCCAGACTTAGAATATTTAGACTAATTTAGACTAACATTTAAGTGGTTAAAGGCTGATTGCTGGCCCTGGTGGTGTGGGCTGGAATCCTGGCATGTGGGAGGCTGGAGCAGAGTGTTTTGAATTCAGGGCCAGCCTGGGCTCCACAGTGAGACCTTGTCTTAAAAAAAAAACCAAAAACCTAGATCTCATTGCTGTCAGTCAGGGTGGGAACAGAACAATTAATAACACGCAGAAAACTCGCCCCTTCTCCCTAGACTCACATTAGCTTATGAAAAGACTTTAATCAGTCCATTTTCATGAGTGTTCAGAAACTTTATGACTGATTAGAGTTTTCTTATCAAATACTCAACAATTAGGATCTTACATTTTAAAAGAAACTACTATGTGTGTGTGTGTGTGTATGTATGTGTGTGTGTGTATGTATACACTGCATTATGTACAAATACCATGCATGTGCCTGGAGAAGCCAGAGAAAGATGTTGGGTGTTATTCTCAATCCTTTTCTACCTTAGTCCCTTGAGAGAGGGTCTCACGGTGAACCTGGAGCCCACCAGGTTTTGAGCTAGGCTGGCCAGCAAGCTCCTGGGATCTGCCTTTGTCTGTCCCCCAAGAGACACTGTGACAGACACATGCAGCCAGTGTGGGTTCTCGGGATTTGAACTCAGGTCCTCACTCTTATCCACTAGGCCATCTCCCCAGGCCCTGAATTCAGATTTAGTAGTAGCTTATAACATATTGAAAAAAGCCAGAAAGATGATTTAATATTCACCACCAATCATATAAGTATATAAAATAACGATTAAGAATTTATAGTTATCAATGTTAATCAATATGCTAGTCCCGTAAGAGAGACTGAGGTCTTGGCATTTGTGGCTTGACCTTGGCGTGGGTCAAAACTCAGGGAGTGCCTGTGGTGGGTTGAAAGAAAGTGGCCCCCAAGGGGAGTGGCACTGTGAGGAGGTGTGGCTTTGTTGGAGGAGGTGTGGCCTTATTGGCGGAAGCGTGTCACTGTGGAGGCGGGCTCTGAGGTCTCTTTTGCTCAAGCTTCCCTCAGTGTGACACTCTGTCCACTTCCTGTTGCCTGCAAGATGTAGGACGCTCAGCTCCTCCAGCACCGTGTCTGCCTGCCGCCATGTCCCACCACGATGATAATGGACTAAACCTCTGAAACATAAGCCAGCTCCGGTTCAATGTCTTCCTTTCTAGGAGTTGCTGTGGTCATAGTGTCCCTTCACAGCAACAGAAACCCTAACTAAGACAGAGACCCGCTTCACTCTTTGCAGAAGGAAATGTGGGTAGCCCCCCCCCCCCCGAGGCTGGGGTGGGGGGCAGACATACTTTCACATAGGTGCGCTCAGTCTCCAACAGCTCGCAGATGACCTTGCGCAGTTTATCGGCGTCTGACAGTTGCCGGGTGGTGGCCAGCTGAGGGCCTGTGGCATCCTGAGGAGATGGGCTCGAGTCGGAGGTGTTCATCTCGTGCAGACTCCGGCAAAACGCGGCAACCTGTTCTGTGCTCTGTGGGGCACAGGCGATAAGGCAAAGCAGATGGAGTCACCGCTCAGCCGGGATCCTAGGCGCTACATTCCCCAGCCCAGAGCCTATGTTTTGAACCATTCCATCAGAAGCTGACAGACGAGAAGGAAGGAGTTAACGACATGGAGGAGCACAAAGAACAAGGCTATTTACTCAGTTATCAGACTCGGTTTCATACACTTATTTAGCAAGCTGGAAGACAATGTCTACCTGTAGTCATTAAAAACTCTTCACATTTAAACAGATAACTGTATTTTTGATAAGTTCTGCTACTTCCAGCTTCTCCGCTGCCCTCTGAGCAGAAGGCAGTTGACACAGGCCACTGTGGCCCTCAGCCTCCACTGTCTCAGGAGGACATGACTGAGGGAAAGGCTGCAATGATTGCCCATGATTCCCTGATCCACCCTAGGGAGTGATGTCTGAAGCACAGGGTGCTGTAAATCTAGCGAGCTCAGTGACTTACCTCACTGAAGCCCTGGATCTCCTAAACACCCCAATCCCATAGCTCAGATCCTTCAAGTCAGGGTCTACACTGGAATGCGAGGTACTGGCATTTGGCTTGGGGTTGTTTACAAAGACAAGGCCTCCTTATGTAGCCCTGGCTGCCCGGTAACTCACTATGTACAGCAAGCTGGCCTTGAACTCACAGACAGCCAACCCTGTCTGTTTCCTGAGTGCAGGGTCTCATGGACCTGATTGCCCCAGGCACTGTTTGGAGTAAGGACTGGTTTGTCTGTCCAACGCACACCAGTAACGTTGGGTGGATACTTTCTTCGTTCTAGTTCACTAGAGTCTTTCTAGTGTCTATTCCAATCCTAAACTCAAAGGGGCCCTTTTCCAGGAAATGATGGTGCTGGTGAAGAATTACGCCTTTATCATCTAGGAAGAACATTCTTTCCTCAAACAATAGCTGGTCCACAGAACTGCAAGCCAAAGACTGTGTGTGAGTAAGGCAGGAGAGCCAAGACCTGGCATATTCCACAGGACAGGATTTAAATACAGTGAAGGACGATTTGCATATGCCAAAGAGAACACAGACAGCGTTTCTCAGATCCCCCTACCAAAACCAAAAGGTGCATTAGGGGCAGCATAAGACAAGAAAGCCTAGAGTCTGGACAGTGATTCACATGGCTATCACTCTCTTCTAATTGCCATGGCTTATTTATGGCTACTGTTAACTCCAGTAGCTGCCAGAAAGCATGTCGCCTGTCATGGGTACTGTTCAGCATCCTCCAGGAAACGGTGGGTTTCAGATATCCCCCCAAAAAAATCTTCTCTTAGGGATAGAAAACCCACCCGAATGGGCTGCACTGTATGCTGTGTAAGTTTTATCTCAATAAGATTGTTGGAAAAGGGAGGATTCCTTCCTGCTTTGCATCAAAGCCTGTTGGTGCGGGAACAAAGGAATTAGTTATGGGTCACTTCACTAACTTGAGGTCATCTTGATAGCGTCAAATTGGGCTTTGTCACAACAATAGAAACAAGGGAACAAATATATCCACTTAACAAACTGTTCGTGCCTCCCTTTAATGATCTAATGATAATTAAGAGAGGTAACATTTTCTAATGCGGTTTTGATGGGGGGATAAAAATGCTCTTCTGGAGACAATCTTACAGGCAGGAGACAGAGTTGACAACCCGCCCCCATCCCATCACACGCTCCCCTGGGCTGCTCCGATTTGCTGTCTGGTCCAGGAACCTAACAACCGAGCGTGGCCCTGGCACCGTGGCTTACACAGTGCTTCTGTAACAATTCCATCTGTAACCACAGCTGGCTGGCCTTCACACACAACTCCCATGACAAACACACCTATCACGGAACTCCAGTTACAGGCAGAACACCCTTTCTTGCACTTTTATCATTGAGATGATTACCCACCGGACCTTGTGTATTATCCCGAGCAGATCCCTCAACTGCACAAAAGGCAAACTCCTGTAAGCAGGAGCAGGGCACTCCAAAAGTCAGGCCCCACCACACAGGAGGCGTCACCTTCTGGTTAAATACAAAAGGTATGGAATGGAATGGGACTTGGGGTTATTGGTTCCTCTCTGATATCATGAGTACCTAAAGACACTACTTTCAAGAATGTGAACAGGGGGGCTGCCTTGGTCTCTGTGAAGTACATTTCTAATTAAACTGGTACCACTCGGGCACTCCATGCCCAGAGGACTCCCTGGATGCCTCCTCTGAGCAGCCTGGGCGTTCTCCTTTCTTCTGTTAGTACCCAAATCAAGTCCTAAATGAATGCGCGCGCACACACACACACACACACACACACACACACACACACACACTCAGAACCATATGAAGTGCGGTGATCAACTTTAACTTTGGGGTCACTTTCTGAGGTTTCAGTTATTATCAGAAAATTCTAACATTTTGTTTTGGCCCTTTCAGGGGAAACCCTGTTTACAAAACCTTTACTGAAGTACTTTATAGTTTATGCTCTTACACATTACAGGTTTTATGCACAGTTGCTCTCGTTTATTAGTTATTAATCTCTTATTGTGCCTAATTTAACATTAAACTCTATCAAAGACATGTATGCATGAGAAAAAACGCAGTGCACGCAGGAACTGGCACTATCCACCTATCCATGGCTTCTGACATCCACTGAGGGTCTCAAGATAGATCCCCTACAGAAAAAGGGAAACTGTAAAATGTGCCCTTCTGGAAGAAATCTCACAGGTAGAAGACAGTCAGAGTTGACAACCAGAGCCCTAACCCCTTAGTTTCTTGGGGGATACCTAAAAGCTCCATGGGGTTCCCTCTGGAGGGCTCAGCCCTTCTCATTAGACCCATCCTGAATGTTCTCTGAAGCTGAATAGGGTCCTTCACAACACTCTGCTCCCGACTCAAGAGGACACACTTTGGGGTGTATCCCAAGGCATTGACTCTCCACACGGGCCTTTTTTTTTCTTCACTGCTAATACATGTTACTTGAAAGAACAAGATGGTTTCATAGAATTAGTAAGTAGATGCATGTAGATATCACTTTGAGTGGGCTGTTTCTGTTTGGAGAGAATTTAAAAGATGCTATAAAGTTTAAGAATTTTGTCTGCTTAAAACACTACCTCTACATTATCCTTTGAAGAAACTCTGACATGCAGGGCCCCCTTGGAGTGTCTCTAAGCTACTGATTTCACATACTGTTGCCCAGTTAAACCTCCAGCTCCCTCCACTGCCTCCCTCCACTGTGGTCAAACCTCTAATCCAGGTCACAGTCACATAGGGTACAGCAGGGAGAGAGAAAGAACCAACCATTTCATAGCTGGTTGTCAGGTGGCTATGGACCACTCACACACCTAGCACCATGAACACACACATGCCCAGCCAGGCAGGCTGGGTGGGAGGTTCCCAACAAGCTCCTCCATGAAGGCAGCTCTGGCTCTGGGGCAAGAGGAAAACCACCCAGGTACTTCCAGCAGGGCACACAGTCTCTCCCCACTTGAGGACTATCAGCAGAAGAAACCACAGAGTAGCACTCACAGGCACTGGAGACTTGAAAATCCTTGAAGGGGCAGAGGTGTCCCCAGTAAAAACTGGGACTCGGCCACCATACAGAGAAGGCAAGACAACAAAGGAGGACCGGCCACGGCCACGTTACCAAGGCCAGCGTGGGCTCGGTGTTGAGGACATTCTTTCCCCCTGTGCAAGATGAAAAGGAAGCCCAAAGGGAGGCAGGGAGACTCTTAAGGACACACAATGACCAACTGGAGCGACCCAGCTGTTTAAGCCTTCCTGTTACGCAACCACCAAAGGCACCGTCTGCCTCCAGATGAGCGACTTCTAAAACTGTTCTTTGACTCTGACCGATTTAACACTTCCCACGGATTCAAAAGGAGCAAGAGTGACCTCAAATCTTACAGCCTTTATTTAAACTTTTTTTTTTTTTTTGAGGGACGGTGGAGCAAAAAAAAAAAAAACCATTTCACAGTCTCAGAGGGCATTACAGTCATCCACTGTTCCTTTAGTTCCCTACCAGCTTTTAGGTCTCTTCTAGCAAACTTCCAACAACAGACACCAGGCAGAGACAAAGTTTGTCTCGTTCAATGACACACTCTCCCGGCCGGCAGACGCCGGGTATCAGCACCAGTCTCCAAAGGCTTAGTATGATGCTGTCACGCCGTTTCTTGACATGCGCTCACTCCTGCGCTCTTTTTGGAGTGTTAACATGTACTACAGGAGCCGATCTACAGAAGTAGGTCAGCTAATGTTAAACCGGTGATTTGCCAGCCCTTCCTTACCGACTGCAAGTCAGCAGTAAAGAAGGGAAAAAGCACCCAAAGGAGCAGAACACCCACCCAGCTGTTTTCCCAGTCCCTTGTCAGAGGCGGAGTGGGAAGGGCATGGTGCGCTGGACATAAAATACATGCAAATTTTCAATAGCAAAAAAAAAAGGGGGGGGGGACACCAGTAAGAGTTAAAAAGATAAAAAATAAAATTTAAAAAGCCAAAGCTTTCTTCCACCTAAATCTGAAAAAAATAAAAGATAAATATAAAGACCCAACACAAATTCAACTGCATGCTAACTACTGACCGCATCTTCCCCAAACTGCTGCAATACATGGTCTTTGTGAACAAGGGTGCCCAGAAAGAAAGGGGGCTGAAATACGGAGCTGGGGGACAAGCATAAGCATCATTAGATGAACACAGAAGCAAGTCTTCCCTGGGGCGGGGCGGACAGAAACAGCAGAGCGCTCACCAGATGAAGTGTGCGATAGAGAGGGCCACCTGCCCTGGCGTCCTCCATCCTGGGTTTACGCTTGATTTTCCACAGTGCAGACATCCTCAGGGGTCTAGTCTCATGGTAATTCCTCCTTAGCACTTCAAGTGTTCAGCAAGGAAACCGAAGTTTCTTAAAATACTCAGAAAGCCCCGGCCACCTTCCCGCTTGCAGAGAGCTTTTCCCTCACCAGGGTATCCCATGCTGGTTCTCCAGGGCGGACCTGTGACCACATCTCAATGCAGACCTGACAGCGGCCACGGCCCCCAGAGAGGCACCTGCTTCCCTCCCGACTTGCGCTCGCTCCGGGAGGCTGTCAAAGGCTGTATCCTGGATAAGAACTCATGCTTTGATTTTACCTGCCTCAGCAATAAAAGTCCCAGAAAGAGAGAGCCAAAGCCAGCAAGACAACAAAACCCTCCCAGGCTGTGGGTGGCCCTGCCCTGCAGCCAGCGGGCCAGCTGATTGGCCAGCATCTCAAATGGCACAGGAATATTAAAGCGGCCAGCCAGGACAACTTCGCTGCTCCCCTCAGGGGGTCACGGGAACCCCCACCACACAAACCCGCTCTTTCAAGTGTGTGTCCTGCTGCACTTCATGCTAGGGCTTCATCACAAAAAACGGATGCGTCCCAAGCAATTACAGCATGCATGAAAACCAAAACAGGAGCAGTCGGGAATGGAAAGGCACTGAAAATGATCCCAATACAGTTTCTAACTGGGAAACAACGTCCGAGCCACCAGGGAGCCTGGAATGCAGGACACGGGGCTCCTCTGACCTCAGCTAACTCCCATTCCATTCCACAAACAAGAGTTTTCGACCAGAAGCTGCAAAGAGAAATAAGTCACTAGGGGTGAGGAGACCTAAGGCTGTCACCATGTCACACAGAGGAAAGAAGCACTGACAAGGGGAGGTGCTAGACTCCCCTGCCTTTTGACAACCTCACCCATCAAGGTGACATTCCTACATCATCACGAGTGAAGAGCAAGCTCACAGGTATCCACTTGCTCAGCTCCAAAAGGCCATGCACAACTAATCTTCATTGAAAAGACAGAATACAAACAGCTTTTGCTTTCCATCCAGCTCATTTAGAAGGAAACACACACACACACACACACACACACACACACACACACACACACACACACAACCCACAGGGTCTCTGGCTTCACACGTCCCCTCTAGAATAAAAACTGATAATGCAGTAGGACGTGATGGTGCATGCCTTTAATCCAGCACTCAGGAGGCTGAGGCTGCCAGGTGTTCTCTGTGAGTTCAAGGCCAGCGTGGTCAATATAGTGGACAGGGCTATATAGTGAGACCCTGTCTTTAAAAGACAAAATGAGAGAGAGAGAGAGAGAGAGAGAGAGAGAGAGAGAGAGAGAGAG